ACCTTTAACATTTGTTTGTGTGGCACATTATCTGTTTGTCACTGCATGTTGATATCAGGCATTGATGTTCTGTAATGATGTGTGCATGTTCATGTCTGCATATTCCAGATTTTTCAGTCAGATGGTTATTTTCTTCTAGAATGTTTCTTAAAAATCGATTGACAGGTGGGTAGGCGGTCCTTCACTACTGCCTGGGATGCATCATGATGGATTAGTGTTGAGCTACAAATGCAATGCTTTCACATGCATCATGATCATATGTTAATACCAGGTGTAAACAAGGTCTTTGTGTCATCACCTTATCCTTTAGTAACATGACTCCTCCATCTGTTTCAGAGTCTGTCCCCTGCAAACCCTGATCTGTCTTGCCTTGGCACTGCAGGAGAGGGGATAAGCTCACGTTGGTCTACGCTGTCCTGGGACATCCCATCTGATCTGCTGTCCTCTCCCACTCCAGACTTTCCTAGCACCACACCGCTTGACTGCGACTCTAGACCCAGCTCAGGTGCTTATACTCCAAATTCCTTAATAATAAACCGTTAATGTTTTGTAAAAAGCAGTTCAGAATGTCTTTGTGTGAATACTTGAATCTGTAGCAAAGGCCGCTGAAATATCTCACGTCAAGGTGCTTCTCTAAAGCTCTTGAGTAGGGATGGCTCGATACCACTTTTTCAGAACCGATACCAAAAATTCTGAGTATCTGCCGATACCGATCTGATGCCAGCGCAGTTTTTTTTAAATGAGTGTAGAATTTCTATACCTCAATGTGTAGGTCGATCATCACTCTTTTGTATGTTACACACAATCTACTAAATATAGACCGCTTCATTATAAAGAAAAAACAACAAACAAAAAAATATAATCAAAATCTATGACCAAAATACTATTATAAACTAGGTTAATGGATAATTCAGCAGCAAAAGTTACTCTAGAAAAATTATGAGTGCACAATAATTTGATAAAATCCTAAATTTTAGTGAAAAAAATACATTTAGTGGGTAACAAATAAGTGAATAAGTGTAGGGCTAAATCTGGTAGGCCTACATATTGCTCTTTGTATTGTTGTAAAATACATTCATGAAAAACAAGTCATATATTTATATATAAATATATACTATAGTAGTCAACATTTGAAGTGGATCAAAACATTTCATCAAAGTTGTCCGAAAACCAAAACAATACCCGTTCTTGTCTTAGGACAACTTTGATTAACTTTTTTGATCCACTTCAAATGTTAACTACTGTATAAATTAAAAGACATTTCTTTTAAATGTATAGCAGAGTAATTAGGCAGCAACATATGATAGATAAGACGAACAAGAAAGGCTATTAATAATCTTTCATTGCGCAAAAGTATTATCATACTAAAGGCTACAAATACAGAGCGACTCAAAGCGCTTATGCACATCCCGTGCACAGAATGACGCGCTTGAAGCAACATGGAGTCGCAGCGCGCAGCATAGAAAAGTTCAAAGCACAAATTGAAGAGATATTGATGCGTAGTGTATTAAATATTTGTGTTAGTTTGAGCCTTTTCTTTTAACGGTTTTAAATTTCAGTTACTGTGCTGGTGACAAAAAAATTCATAGTACTCTCTACTCCAGTCTTGTGATCTAACCAGATATCCGGTAGAAATTTACACGATTTAGAAACCGCACGAAACTCCAGCAAGATAAATTCCTTTTATGCAAAACCATTTATCTTTATTTACAGATCAAGTATAACATTAGGAACATTTAATCATCTTGGAGAGGGTTTCATCTTTTTGATTGTCATAACCGAACGTGACACACAGTTTGAATGCTGAATGGAGGATGACAGACAGCCGCTGCGGAGAGAAGAGTTTACGTGAACTTGACTTAAATATTCGTCTGTACCTCACATTAAACTATGGAAAAAGCTTCAGAACACTTAAAATATAGTGCACGAAAACTTTATGGTGCTTTTATAATGTTTTTGTGGCTTTCGTGGGGCTTAATAATAACAGAATAGTATAAGCACTATATCGGATTTGGATCGGTCTCGTCTGACCGATACCCCGATCCAACAGAAAATGCCAGTATCGGAGCGATACCGATACTGAATATCGGATCGGCGCACCCCTACTTTTGAGTTTTGATTCACAAAGAGCGAATTGTGTGATTAATCATTGTTCCATAGTATTGTTTTCTTTTTTAGTATTTGGCATTTGGAGCATTACAGTGGGGAAAATATTTATTTGATTCCCTGCTGATTTTGAAAGTTTGCCCACTTACAAAGAAATGAAGGGTCTGTCATTTTTATGGTAGGTTTATTTTAACGGATAGAGACAGGATATCAATGCAAAAAAATCCAGAAAAAACACATTATATAAAGGTTAGAAATTGATTTGCATTTCAGTGAGTGAAAAAAGTATTTGATCCCCTACCAACCAGCAAGAATTCTGGCTCCCACAGATTGGTTATGTGGAACACAGATTAGTCCTGCCACTTTAAGAAGTTACTCCTAATGTCAGCTCGTTAGGTGTATAAGACACCTGTCCACACAATCTGTATTCCATTCCAACCTCTCCGACCACCATGGGCAAGAACAAAGAGCTGTCAAAGGATGTCAGAGACAAGATTGTAGATCTGCACAAGGCTGGAATGGGCTACAAGACCATCAGCAAGAAGCTTGGTGAGAAGGACACAACTGTTGGTGCGATTATTCGGAAATGGAAGAAATACAAAACAACCATCAATCGGCCTCGGTCTGGAGCTCTGTGCAAGATCTCGCCTCATGGGGTAAGGATGATCATGAGAAGGTGAGGGATCAGTCCCGAACTTCACTGGAGGAGCTTGTTAATGATCTTAAGGCAGTTGGGACCACAGTCACCAAGCAAACATTGGTAACACACTACGCCGCAATAGACTGAAATCCTGCAGCGCCCGCAAGGTCCCCCTGCTCAAGAAGGCACATGTACAGGCCCATTTAAAGTTTGACAAAGAAAATCAAAGTGATTCAGAGAAGGCTTGGGAGAAAGTGCTGTGGTCAGATGAGACCAAAATTGAGCTCGTTGGCAGTAACTTGACTTGCCGTGTTTGGAGGGAGAGAAATGCTGACAATGACCCCAAGAACACCATTCCAACAGTCAAGAACGGAGGTGGAAACATTATTCTTTGGGGCTGTTTTTCTGCTAAGTGTACAGGACGACCATGTACTGTAAAATATTGGACAAGAACCTCCTTCCCTCAGCCAGAACACTGAAGATGGGTCATGGATGGGTCTTCCAGCATGACATTGACCCAAAACATACCACCAAGGCAACAAAGGAGTGGCTCAAAAAGAAGCACATTAAGGTTATGGAGTGGCCTAGCCAGTCTCCAGATCTCAATCCTATAGAAAACCTGTGAAGGCAGCTGAAACTTTGAGTTGCCAAACAACAGCCAAGAAACCTTAAGGATTTAAGAGAGGATCTGTAAAGAGGAGTGGATCAAAATCCCTCCTGAGATGTGTGCAAACCTGGGGCCTCATTTATAAAATGTGCGTACGCACAGATTTGATCTTAGAGTGTGCGTATGCTAAAATCCACGGCAACGTTCACAAGTGTCACATGATCCTTCAGCAATCATTTTAATATGCTGATTTGCTGGTTATCAATATTTAAAACAGTTGAGTACATTTTTTCAGGATTCTTTGATGAATAGAAAGATCCAAAGATCAGCATTTATCTGATCTCAATCCTATAGAAAACCTGTGAAGGCAGCTGAAACTTTGAGTTGCCAAACAACAGCCAAGAAACCTTAAGGATTTAAGAGAGGATCTGTAAAGAGGAGTGGATCAAAATCCCTCCTGAGATGTGTGCAAACCTGGGGCCTCATTTATAAAATGTGCGTACGCACAGATTTGATCTTAGAGTGTGCGTATGCTAAAATCCACGGCAACGTTCATATTTATAAAAATGGTATTTGGCGTGGAAAAGTACTTACCGCCACGTCAGGGTCTGAGCAGGCGTACGAACTTTTCCTTGTGGAAAAGTTGGAGTAGTGTGACTATTTGAACATCTAAGCTGCAATAATAATAAAAGCGGTGTACGTGCAAGCACCAAATTCATCATAAACAACGAAGATGCAGTGTGAGAGATTAATTGTGCAGTGTAGTCCGATTTTGTATTAACGGGAGTTTTTGCGAGATCAAACTGACCTTTTTAGTAGCCTAATGTTGAGAGTTCTTTTAGGGCTGGACAATAATTCAATATCAATATGTATCGCGATATAATTTATTTGTGGCGTTTGACTTCGTTGAATAAACATGAGCACTGCACGTTTCAAATTCAAAACACGTCGCGGGTGTTTTATATGAATGTATCTCTGAAGGGAACCGACTGTCTTCAGAATAGTTTAGATGGCACTTTTATCTGATAAAGTAGCGTTCATGAGCGGAGCTGCTTTGTTTACAGCCGTTACTGGAGAAACCGTTCTTTGATGAATAGAAAGATCCAAAGATCAGCATTTATCTGAAATAAAAAGCTTTTGTAACATTATACACTATACCATTCAAAAGCTCTTTTTAAAATTTATATTATAGAAATTATTACTTTCATTTAGCAAGGATGTTTTAAATTGATCAAAAGTGATGATAGAAATCTTTTGTAACATTATAAATGTCTTTATTTCAGATAAATGCTGTTCTTCTGAACTTTCTATTCATCAAAGAAACCTGAAAAAAATCTACTCCGCTGTTTTCAACATCATAATAATAAATTTTTTTGAGCAGCAAATCAGAATATTAGAATGATTTCTGAAGGATCATGTGACTGGAGTAATGATGCTAAAGCTCTGCTTTGAAATCACAGGAATAAATTATATTTTCAAATAGAAAAGTTATTTTAAATAATAAAAATATTTCAAAATGTTAAGGTTTTTGCTGTATTTTGGATCAAATAAATGCAGGCTTGGTCAGCAGAAGAGAATTCTTTAAAAAACATTAAAAATCTTACTGTTCAAAAACTTTTGACTGATATGTTAGCCTATAGTTTGAAGTAAAAAATATTAATATTAATAAGGAGAGTCTGAGATCTATTTGACTGATTTCACATTTCTTGTTTGTATGAAGGCTAAATACCAATAAAAGGTGAACATTTATTTATTTGCGCCATTTTTTTCCTAAAATATTATATAGTTTTATAGGAGTAGGTTTCATAGAGTTGGCAAATTAATTTTTCATAAGTTTGTAGGTACAGACATCTGTTGTGGCCGTTCTTATGAGGCTTTTTTAATAGTGTTCATATCGATATCGGAATTATATCTTATCGACCGAAATTAAGAAATATACCGCGATATAAATTTTGGCCCTAAGTTCTTTACTCGCTTTCTGTAGTTTATTCCAAGTTGGTTTGTTTTTTGTTTTTTTACAAGAGAACTTGCGAAGTCTTGATTTACTACTAATGCGTAAAATAGAAAAAAAAAATGCATAAATGCATCTCAGACTGTTTTGTCTGTACAGCCTATAAGAATAGGCCTATGTCGTGCAATAACGGTTTTAATAGCCTATATTCTATTCAATTACATTAACTGTTTTTATTTATAACATCCGCTGCTTTGCTTCTGTGAAAATTAATAGAGACATCAGCCTTAAACTTTGTTTTTGTCATTTACATCAGTTATATTTGTATAAAATACACTATATATTTTTGTGTCAGTACATTAATGAGCAGCATTAGTAAACGGTGTAAATAAAGAAATGCCAAATCACATGCAGGTTTTTTTCGGACCAGAGATCATAATCATGTAATAATTAATTTTATTATGATATGAAACGTCCACTTTTTCTTTCAATAATGTTTTTTAAAGTATTGCAAGAATTTCGTGACACTAAACTTTTTATTAGTTGTCATAGCAAGTGATTTTAAAAGTAGGATGGCTCACTTTTTATAACTTTATATACAGTGGGGCAAAAAAGTATTTAGTCAGCCACCAATTGTGCAAGTTCTCCCACTTAAAAAGATGAAAGAGGCCTGTAATTTTCATCATAGGTATACCTCAACTATGAGAGACAAAATGAGAAAAAAAATCCAGAAAATCACATTGTAGGATTTTTAAAGAATTAATTGGTAAATTCCTCGGTAAAATAAGTATTTGGTCACCTACAAACAAGCAAGATTTCTGGCTCTCACAGACCTGTAACTTCTTCTTTAAGAGCCTCCTCTGTCCTCCACTCGTTACCTGTATTAATGGCATCTGTTTGAACTCATTATCAGTATAAAAGACACCTGTCCAAAACCTCAAACAGTACATTAACTGTTTTTATTTATAACATCCGCTGCTTTGCTTCTGTGAAAATTAATAGAGACATCAGCCTTAAACTACTTTTGGAAACCTAATTGTTTTATCATTATTATTTCTGTTGTTTCTAGAAGTAATAATTTTCATAATAGTCAATCGAAAAAATATAACCACACACACATTGTTTGTCCACAGAATAATTACTCATTGTTAAATAAAAAGCGTCCCCGCACGAACCTCTACCTCCGCCAGCAGAACCTCAATTTCAGCCTCAGTAAAGTTTTTTTTTTTTCTTTGTGCTCGTCATTCTCAAGTACAGAAATTGATATATTGGCGTGTGCTCTTTTATATGGTAATCTGACACCAGTCAGCTGCGCACAATTTCAAGATAATTTGTGATTTATAAATGTCACATCTGGAAGAGAGGCATACACACGTGTTTTTGTGCGCACATTAGTTTTCTCTGAATCGCACTTTTGAGAAATGATCTTACAACAAATTTAGGATGTTTTTTTACGCAACATTTTACAAATGAGGCCCCTGGTGACCAACTACAAAAACGTCTTACCTCTGTGCTTGACAACAAGGGTTTCTGCACCAAGTACTAAGTCATGTTTTGTTTGGGGATCAAATACTTCTTTCACTCACTGAAATGCAAATCAATTTCTAACCTTTATATAATATTTTTTTTCTAGTTGGTATTCTGTCTCTATACGTTAAAATAAACCTACCATAAAAATGACAGACCCTTAATTTCTTTGCAAGTGGGCGAACTTACAAAATCAGCAGGGGATCAAATAAATATTTTCCCCACTGTATATAATTATTTAGTCACAGTTGGTTATTCTTGGTATTTAATGTTATTCAGTAGTGTTGGTCAAAACTGGTATAAAAATGAGTAATCTGACACACCTAAAAAATGTCATAAAATGTTAATACTAAGATTCATAGTCGGAAAATCCATGAATGCTGATTTAGGGGAATAGGGGAATTAAAAAGACCCAAATGACAAAATGTAATATGGCATAGTCACATATGCATCCAATGCTTTGAAGCTACAGCTTTTGATAAGTTAAGATTTTGTAATGTCATTGAAGCTGCATTTATTTGATCAAAACATCTCTATTGTGAAATTTACTATTTTTTTAATAACAATTTTAAATAGATTTATATATTTGTATTTACTGTATATATATATATATATATAAGTGCTAACTCTGTAATGGATACAGAGAGACAATAAGTCATTCATATATTCAGAAATAATATATTTCTGCCTAGATGCTCAGACAAAAATAACAATGTTTTGATAGTTCCACAGAGCCACAAATGGCTCTCTTAGCTGGGATAGAACATATTTTAACATCGACAAAATGATACACTTAAGCTCATTGTGGTAAGATTAAACTTGCACAACAAAATTGAACCTTTTTGGATAAACTATGCAGAGGTTCCTCAATCATTGAAACTATGTGAAATATCTAAATCAAAAGATATTTATCCTTTAAGCCCTCCCGAGGAATGAGCCCTGCATGAAACAGTAATACATTTCACACAAGTGCATGACTCATAGCTTGGATAGCTTGGGGCTCTGTTTGAAACAAATGATTCAATGTTAACCTTTCAACTTCAACATGACACACAGTTTCTGTGTTTTTGGCAGTTCTCTTTTTACTTTGGCAAACATTAACCCAGGCTTTTTATGGCAATCCCATCATTTATATCATGTGTCACCCCTGAAGCACTGCTCCCCCTAACACTCTTAACTTCATCTGTCATTCTCTTGTCCACAGGTTTTTACTCGGTCAGTGGGAGTTCTCTGTCAGACTCTTGTTACTCCGTATCCAGCGAGGCGGCTCCTGGAGGGTCATTGAAAGTCAGTTGTAGGCCACGCTCACTGGATCATAGTGGCACTCATTGGAGGGAGGCTGAATCTCATAGTACAGAGTGTCCTGAGGGCACAGTGGAGAAACAAGAAAGAAGGCCCTTTTCTACTGGTATGACTTGTGATCTTAAAAAAACAACAACACAAGTCTGAGTCATATTTCATTCAAAAACCAAAAGAATGAAACATGATGGTAGTATTTTTTGTACATTTGCGTTTTTTTCAAGATAATTAAAAAAAATCATAAATCATACTATAAAATTCCTGAGAAATAGTAATGAGCATTTAATGACAATCCCTGTTTGGCTAATATTAGGAATTAAAAACTGAAAGTACAAAAAAAAAAGTAAAATGTCCATATGCATAATTATTATTTACAATAATAATAATTTAATTGGGAATGTAAAAAATTAAAATTTTAATGGAAAAGAAATTGTCCCATTACTTTCAAATTCACCCTTCACTCCTGCTCAGCTTTCAGTATTTCGGCGTGACTCCCCATCTCAATGCTCTCTTCCACGCTTTCACCCATGTAGTTCCCCACTGGAGGGTCCCATTCGGCCTCGTGGAGGTTCCCTCAGGCAGAACGCAGGGACTGGGTGGAGGCCTCAAGATAGAGGGTGGAGGAGGAGTGGGGATGGAGAGAGGCTCTACCAGGGCAAACATGCCTCAAGAGAACTTATTCGAGCATCCACGGTTAGTAGCTATTCGGGTAGAGACTATGGCACTGGATGGGAGGATGAAATGAGCACTCAAACACCTAAAAAGGGTGGAAAGTTTTGGAAGGGGTTCGAAACACGATTTTGGGGACGAGAGGACTATGATGAGAGAGATGAGAGAGCTGGAGGATTTGGTTGGAGGCACACCTCACTGAAAGAAACATCGTCCAGTAGGCCAGATCAAAGAGGGAACAACTCGAAAAAGAAAGGTACGAGTTGGGACAGTAGAAGTTCCAGCCTCCGGTTGTCCAGGAGAGCATTATTTCGAAGCGAGTCTCAGGGAATTCTCGAGCCACATTCTCAGAAACGGGAAAGCAATCAGTGGCGTTCCTCATTTGAGATCAGCCGTGTAGGACGGGGCTCTGAACGTGCTCGCAATCTTGTGAGAAAGGAGGAGAAACATCATTCTTCAACTGCCAGTCTTTTCCATCTCTCTCGCTCCCAGAGCCTGGAGGGAAGCAGTCACTCCCTTTCTCCTCTTTCGTCCCCATCGCTCTCGCCCTCACCTCCCCCATCAGCTCCTCTCACCCGTTCCAGATCGTTCCGTGACCTTGGAAGGAAAATGTTTGGCTCTATGAGGTCCCTCAGTTTCAATAAAAATCACAAGTCGAAAAAGAAAGATTAGTATGAACAATTAAAAATGGAAGAAACCAAGCTGCCAACTTTTCCAAATGTACAATTTTCTCTCTTTCTGCTTGTTTCGGTGCTTCTGCATGCCATGCCGTGTCTATGTGCACTCTTATGGTCATAGTGGTTCTGGTGTTGTTTTTACTATGAACATATTATGCTTTAAAAAAAAAGCACTCTAAAGTATATGCTGACCAAATACAAAAAGATGTTGTTTGAACTTATGCTCAGGACTTTGAAAAAAAAAAAACTGAATTTGAAATGATTGTTAAAGAGTTCATGTTTCAGCAATCAATAAAAGTGTTTCCAATTTGAAATTATCCTTATTTGCTTGGCAATGACGGAATATGTTGCTACTGCTGAGTGAAGTGTTTTGTGGTACAATTGGATTACATGAGATCTCACAAACAAAAATCTGCTGTCATAGACTTACATTAAATGTCTTATCACAGCATTTCCATAATCATATTAGCATAATCCATTAATAATAGCTTTTGAACACTCCGTTTCAAATGGCAAATACATTATGCATAAAGTTCTTTCAAAAATATTTATTAGGATGAACAAACAAAAAGCAAGAGAACTATCATATGGGAAAAAAAAAATACAGACCCACAGCTGGAAGAAACTGAATGCAAAACAGAAGCAGCTAGACAGTATGTTAACTGTACAATGCATTTTAAGTGCATTCAAATTCTTGTACAAGCTGCCACGTTGCACCAGATTTCAGCCACACATTCAGTCAACACCAGTAAATGCCATATGTAGCAAATTATCCATGCCCTGAAGCAAAACATCCCACTTTCTTCCTGGCAGCTCAAGCTTAATTTAATGATGTATGTTCCTGCTGAGTCACGTATTTGTCCGTTTGGACCAATTTCTGGGTCTGCTCCTCTGCTAACTGCTCCTCACCCTGTTTCTGCTTGCTGAACATGCCTTTGTACAGTGCCTTCTCTTTCTGTAAGTCTTGGCTGAGTCTCTCCTCCACTCGCTGCAGCTGTTTCTTTACATCAGGATCTGAGAAATGGAGAACAGGATGCTATGAATGTCTCATTATTTCCAATCAAATCACTGACATGAACTCTGAGTGCAGATGTGAAACTGCAGTTCAACTGAAGGCTGCAGAGCAGGGGTCTTTGATCTTACTAATTCTTAAGAAAATGATTGCATCCGCAAAATGTAATACCACGCTGCATTATGTAACAGGCACACATGCTGTATTCCCTTGTGAAAATTGTAGCTGAAAATCCCTGGCAGAATAATACCAGTAGTTCTCAACCTTTATCTCAGGGGACTTTTTTATGTCACATGCTTTCTGACACCACATTTAAATGTATGCACACATACACTTCATTTAATATTACAAGGCAACAGAAAAGCCTTTTAAACCAAAATAAGTCTGGAAAAAAAATACTGTGGAAAGTTTGGCTATTAACTTTTCAAATTACCAGCCCAGATATGTTTAATGGTAACCCTGTGTCTTTGCTTTTTCAGCAAGTAGTGTTTTATCAAATCATATGATTGCATTATGAATATCATTGCACAATTTCAATCTGTATATCATGCTGAGAATTTTCACTGATTCTGTGTGGCATTTAACCATGCTTACACAGGACACATTCATGCGTTTAAATATAGCTAAAGGAACAGAAAAGAATGCAGGGGTCCTGTGACATGTTTTTGAACTATTTTTAACTTGACTGCACATGGCATCAGACAGAATGCAGTAAGTGAAGACCCACTGCTCTTTTGATTTTTTTCTCAGCTAGACATCTGTTTATATCATAATAACGATAATTTGACAAACTGAATCCAACAAAATCAATTAGGTGACCCCTAGGAGAGCTCTGGCGACCCCTGGTGCAGGTTGGCGAATGATGAAATATGCAAGAAAGGTGGGATGTGGTTTGTTTTTACCATTAGGTTTCCCCCTGCTGGCCTGTATGAGGTAATGTCGAGCAGACTGTGCATCACCCAGTTGTAATGAGGCCACTCCAGCTCTGTAGAGGGCCTTAATGTCACCTGACCTCCACCGGAGCACTTTCATACTGTACTCTAACACACGGGCATAGTCCACCACCTGTCGCTGTAGCAAACATGCTGTGAAACACAGAAATAGGTTAAGAGGAGAATGCTTTCCCAGATGAGATTTACAAACACTACCATTCAAAACTTTGCGGTCAGTAAGATTTTTGGGTTATCATGAGATTAAGGACAAAGTTCACACGATTTTGTTTCCCATTTCTCATTATGATTAACTGCTATGGTTAAGAGTTTTAAATGTGGTCAATATGATGAGGTGCCAGCAAAGTGTGAAAGCAAATAACAGGATCCTAGATGTGGGGGTAAGATGATGGTGAAATAGATGGAAACTTATGCTGAGATAGACAGAAATGGAGGGATTTGGTTTGGAGGTTTCAAACCAATAGGAAATTAAAGTGAAGTGAAGTGAGGCCAAGTATGGTGACCCATACTTGGAATTAGTGCTCTGCATTTAACCCATCCAAGTGCACACACACCCGGAACAGTGGGCAGCCATATTGGAGCAGTTGGGGGTTCGGTGCCTTGCTCAAGGGTCTCACCTAAGTCGTGGTATTGAGGGTGGAAGAGAGTGCTGGTTATTCACTCCCCCCACCTACAATCCCTGCCGGACCTGAGACTCAAACCCGCAACCTTCGGGTTACAAGTCCTGCTCTCTAACCATTTGGGGCGAGTGGCACATCTAAGTGAAAACCAGAAGTGTCACCAGATGTGTCAGTGGAGAGTGGCATGTGCTACAACTAGTACTATGTGTCACAACTGCATTAGGCCACGACTACCCCAAATGGTATGATAATGCATGACCAATGACGATACCTAGCCTAGCCTGCCCAGTAAGAAACTCTTCATAAAAACATGCTTATAAATGCGCAGAAAGTAGCTTTGGATAAAATTATTCAATTTTAGTGTTGTGCAATTCAGTGCCAAAGCATTACCACCTCACATGGCTACAATATCTTGTTTGGAAGGAATACACACCTGCTAAATTGTTATAGCAGTCTACTTGAGTGCTCCTCAGCAGGTCCTCCTGCTCCTGGCTCAGTTTAGGCACCTGAGCCCCAAACCCTTGCAGGACAGAGTTCACCTCAGAGTCCAGGCCACGGAGAACGAGCAAAGCACGATGATAACGTCCGATGGCAGTGCGCACATTTTTCTCTCGGTAGAATCCATTCCCCTCCGTCTTTAACCGAATGGCCTCCTGGAGCTGTGACTCCAAACGGGAACCAGATGATCCTCCAGTGGCTCCCAAACATGATGATGCACCGGCCTCTGCCTCGGACCCATCATCCCCTGCAGTAGGATCGAAAACCTGCCACACATAACCAATGCCACAAGAGTTGACAACACAAAACTACTGCATTATTAACCCTAAATATAGCCACAGCTTCTGCATCAGGAGACCAGTATGTCAATTCATTATATGTTGCTTTTAGAAGATTTAGAAAGGTCTCCCATCCTGGCTAAGCCAAACCAGTGTATCTGGTCTTCCAGTATGACCAGGTGAAAAGTCCCACACACAGCTGGTCATCTACTCCCTCAGACCAGCTTAACCAGGCTTGGAGACAAACGAAGACCAGCAAACTACCTTAGGCTGTTTTCCCAACAGGATTCATTCATGACAGTTTTAAACGCTTACTAATAAATAAATCAAATCAAACACGCTAATAAAATCTAAGTAGGCACATATTACAGTTCATGTCATTTTGAAACCAAAACCCATAATTTCGACGAATTTGAACTGCGCCCAGCACAGCATGCAGCCTCGCCTAGCTTTTATCACTTATAAAAGGAAACAACAAGCCAACTATCTTTTTTTTTTACCTTTTCGTCCATTGCGTTTAAGGTTTTAAAATGTTTGCAGTCTGCTTAGAAGCCAGTTTAATTAAGAAAATATTGTTGGGACGCTAAGAAACAAATCTTTGACACTCTTCTTCGTGGTTGTTATGGTTGCAGCATTGATTTTAGCAATACTACCTCCTACCGGAGGAATATTACTAGCGCAACATCATACGAGCGATCATCTACATCTCCAAAAATTCAGTGAATTAATCATTTAAAGAAAGAAACAATACTTCACATGTAACACACAAGGACACAAAACACACATAAGGAAAACACAGCCATATATAAAAAAAATAATTCAATGAAGTATTCAATTAAAATTATGTATTAACAATGTAAAATATATTTATATAATATAAACATAATAATTTAATGAATAAACAAATCAAATCAAATGGAAACCACTGACAATTAGAGAACTGTAGATCCTCAGAAATAGCTGGCTATAACATTTCTTATATTGTTTCAGGAGTCTGTCACATTTTTGTTATTAGTTAAATAAAGAGATTTGAGACGCGAGTCTGTTTGAACGGAAAAAAATGTTATAGAGTATAATTTTAAAACTTCTGTTGATGGAAAAATGTACCAAACAATATAAAATAATTCCGATATGCGTTTCTACCTGGCCTTCAAATTTGAGGTATCAAATGTCAACTTTTTTTTCTTTCTTTCTTTTAAAAGCTCGTGGGTGTAAAATATCTTTTGCATTTTTTTTGGATTGTAAAGTGGGTAACACTGGTAACAACAACCAGAGAGACATGATGGATGACCCATTTTCAGCATAACACATGGAAAACACCCACTTTTACTGACATTTTTAATGAAATGTCAATTAAATATTTAAATCAAATTAAATCAGTTACACGCATATTTGAAACAACAACAAGAAAATCCGTTTACGTTGCAGCTCGCGCGTACGTGAGGATCGCGTGAGAGTGCGTCACAGGGAGGAGGAGTCCCGACGCAAACACACGCGCAGTGTCGTGCTGTAGAACTATGGAAAGCCGTTGTAACATTTAATCTATAAGCCGTACTAGTATCTATTTTCATGGTACTAGTACCTATTTTTTAGATACTAGTATCTTTTCCATTAAGTACTAGTACTTATTCATTAGGTACTAGTGCTTATGCTTTATCTACTAGTGCTTAATCTTTAGGTACTAGTGTTTATTCTTTAGGTACTAGTGTCTTTTGTAAAGTTACTAGTACTTATTCATTAGATACTAGTACGGCTTACAGATTAAATGTTAAAACGGCTTGCCATAGTAGAACTCCACTTAGTGTTTATGGTTTACATTTGCAGGTACACTGTCGAAACCAAACGTCTAGATTCCAGCAGGTAACGTTAGGCTACGCTCCTCCACCACAGGCTGAAACTAATCTTCGAGTACATGGAGCTGGATCGGCGGCTGCTGCTGGCTCACTGCGCCGCCCACACCCTGTCCGTCATAGCTGGACTCTTGGCGGTCGTGCCGCTGGCTTTGAACGGATCCGCTTTCAAGGGAAGGTGCGCGCTGTTTAGTCAAGGCTTCTGGAGGACGGAGAACTTCACGGTGGGCGAGGAAGAGTCCAGAACGGTCACTCATTTGGTGGTACAACAGTGGGGTCCATTAGCGGCGTGCCAGTTCGCCACATTTGTCGGTGTGTTCACGGTGTTGTACGGCGCTGTTCAGGGCTGGAGGAGCCTGTTCTACCTGCACCGGCGGCATAACGAGTGAGTCTTAACAATGTGACATAAAACTACATAAGCTACATTCGTTAATGGTACACTTACTTATCTATATAACAGCAGAAACTAGTATAGACATATTTTATGAAATAATAAAATTAAATCAAACCCATGTATTATATAAAAATAATATAAACTAAAATAAAAATATTATTAAATAATTTGGTATTTTATATATATATATATATATATATATATATATATATATATTAAAAAAGCTCTTTTTAGAAAACACTTTCAAGAGTTTTGC